TTTTTATATTTTTTGAGACATAGGAGAAGATATTAATCACGAGGAAGAAGGACGTTTGGTTTGTGAATGTCACGTATATATAGGGGGTTGATTTTAAGGAAGAAAATTTATATAAGAATGGAGGAAAAGTCCACGAAATAATCAATGTGCTTGGAAATGCATAATCGTATTCTTATAAACAAATATTAACTAGAAGAAAGACAACCAAGACGAGTATGAAGACCTGAATAAGACATGGATTCAACGAAATATATGCAATCCTTCTAGATATAGACGAACTAATATAATGACCTAATAAGTGTAATACGTTACGTGGCATTGGTTTCGTTGTTTTACGATCCAGCACATATCCTATCAACGTTAAATGTTCAACTGACTGATCGAAATGTTATGACGTGAAAATATAGAATAAAAACAAAAAAGGAATACACAAAAATACAGACATATCTAAAAAGAAATTACAAGAACGGATACCGAGTGATTCTCCTCTCGCCTTGAAGGAGAAGTGGAGAGAGCTGACAGGTCGCAATTTGCGTTAATTTCCCACGCCAAAGAGATACGCCTTAAGTTTACCCACGGAGAAAATAGACAGTACACAATACCCGTCCCTCGTAGCATGATTATGAAGACCCATTTAAAAGAGGAAATGTACGTGGTGTAATAGTGATCAAAGACGGCGTAACCTCGCGTCAGCTACGTCGTGAAGGTCATTTACCCAATAAAAGCAGATTGACAGAGAGTGAATACGTCCTTTTTCTTCTTGCATGTCGTCAGGAATTGCCATGGGCGCAAATAACCACGAAGGTTTAAGGTAGCAGTGGATTTAAACCTGATCACGAAGAAGAGCAGAGAGCAGTCATGCCAAAGATTGAGTATATCCGGTTTTGATGTGTGTCGTCAGGAACTGTCATGCGCACAAATAACCATGACTTTAGTTGATGTTGAGTTTAGACTGATAAAGAGGAAGAGTAGACAACAGCCATGCAAAAAAATGAGTATATTCGTGTGTTTTTTTCTTGAAAATCATCAGGATCTGCCATACGCATAAGTAACCATGAAGATTTTAGTTGATGGTGGGTTTAGACTCATAAAGTAAAAGAGTAGACAACAGCCACGCCAAAAAAAAATGAATATATCATTTTTTTTCATGTCAGGAACTATCACACAAATAACCATGAAGGCTTTAATTAAGAATAGGATTAAACTTAATCAAGAGGAAGAACAGACAACAGCCGTACCAAGGACGAGACTGAAACCCCTTCACGACCCAAAACCCTGTGTTGCTATCGGGAGTGAACTGGCTCGCCCCGGTGTTGCAAATTAAAATGCAGATGGCATACCCCGACTTAACCTTTGCAACTACGCTACTCGACTGAACATTTGACTCATCGAGAACTTGTAACTTTGGTGTTGCAAATTTTCTGATGATTCTTTTTTGATGATGATTGGTTGCAATTGCTTTGTCTTTGCTTAAGAAGAGGGAAGTTGTAGATTTTCTAACTCATGTTGATCAATATGAAGTAATGGATGTACAATATAAGATGTGAGAGTGTACTACTTGAAGGCATTAAATAATATATGCTATATGTTAAGCTGAAGGCATTTAAGTAGATATAAGTTAAAATTCCATAAGAACATAAGTTGAAGGTATTCAGGAATATATGATTAATTAATATAATTTGTAGGCATTTACGTAACTAAGTCTATGAAATCAAGATATTAAAATATGCAAGTTAAAGAAAAATAAGGACCCAAGTATGTAAGTATACAATAAAAGTGACGAAAGCGGAAAGAAAAGTGTTTGCGACAAAGAAGAAGATGATGAAGAAGAAGAAGAAGAAGAAGAAGAAAAAGAAAAAGAAAAAGAAAAAGAAAAAGAAAAAGAAAAAGAAAAAGAAAAAGAAAAAGAAAAAGAAAAAGAAAAAGAAAAAGAAAGAAAAAGAAAAAGAAAAAGAAAAAGAAAAAGAAAAAGAAGAAGAAACAACAACAACAAAAAACTTCAGTTCTTAGGAGCGGATAACGAAGGATATTTCAGACACGAAAAGAGGAAGAGAAAAGAGAGGCAAGATGGATGACGAATCAAAACAAGAATCGCCGATAAGTATCTGGATTTCGGCGGATTAGAGGCATATCCAGCATCCACGATCCCGTCTCCAATCAAGGCTAGGAGAGGAACCTAAGCAAGACGTGAATGAAATCAAAAGGGAAGTGAATGTAATGAATAAATAAATGCAATAAAGTGCGTGAAATCAGTCAATCTGTATAATAAAGTGATGACAATAAAAGCAAACAAACAAACAAGGACGGAATGAACGCAAACGAGGAAGGAGAGTGAATGCAATCAAGCAGAAAATGAAAGCAGTAAAATGAATGTAATAAAAGAGTAAGAAGAATGAAATCAAGAATAAAAGTCGACAATCAATCAATCAATAAATCAACCGAATGCAAGCAAGAAAATGCAATCAAGAAGAGGGATGTAATTAAGAAAGATTTGAATGTAATCAATCGATAAATCTATATAATATAGTGATTATTGAAACAAAACAAAACAATAAAGGCATGAATGTAATCAAAAATGAAATAAATATTGTAAAACGAAGATAATAATAATAAAAGAACAAGAAAATGCAAACAAGAGGGAAATGAATGCAATCAAGAGAGAGAAATTTTATCACGATAATGAACTGAATCAAATCAAGAGTAAATGAGTATAATCAAGCAAGAAAGTGAATGCAAACAAGAAGAAAATAAATACAGTAAAAGATGAAGTGAATAAGAACAAAGAAAAGAAAAGAAAAGAAAGCGGACAAGAGGGACAGAAAAGGGTAGCATTTGATTACTTACTTACTTGATTGATTAATTAATTCAGTGGAAACGTCACTGATTTTTGCTTTTATGAAGACTGCAAAGATACGTTTTTTTTCTGGAAAATAACTACATTCATAACATGTTATGGGAGTTAATAGTTATTATTATTATTATTATCATTATTATTATTATTATTATTATTATTATTATTTTCATTATTATTATTATTACTACTACTATTATTATTGTTGTTGTTGTTGTTGTTATTATTATTATCATGATCATTACTTTTATTATAATTATCATTATTATTAGTAGTAATGGTAATAGTAATAGTCATAGTAGTAGTCGTAGAGAGTAGTCGTAGTGGTAGTAGCATTAGTAGTAGTGGTAGTAGAAACAAAAATGGATAATAACAATGCTATTAGTGATTTGTATAACAAAATTCATAGTAATGCTAGAAAACATAATAGCAACAACAATAACATTAACAATAACGTAAGAGGAAAACAATATCAATGTTAATTATAAAAAACAATAACAATAATAGTTATGATGAAGGTAATACTAACACTAAAAATCCCCATAAAAGTAACACTAATAACCAATACCATTAATAAAAAAATATCTATCACAAAGCTTCTTTAAAGAACCAAACTCTAATAAAAAAAAATACCTATCACAAACCCTTTTTTTACAAGAACCAAAAACTCCTAAAAGTGATTCAAACCTATACACCCATTCTACACCTATATATAGATCTTACAACTTCCCATTCACACAACTCCCCATTCATAAAAAAACCAACCCATTCATTCCTCTCTCGCCACTAGATGAAACTCCAGCTGATAATGTTTACGGTTATCACCCTGCTGGTTCATCTCTCAGCGGCCTTCTCGCTCTGGGACTTGTTCTTCAAGAGGCCTACGTGGTTCAAGTCGAGGGTGTCAAGGAACAGGGTGAGTGCAGAGGACAGGATTAATTTTGTTTGTTTTCATTGTTTTGTTTTATTTGTTATTAGCATTATTTGTTTGTTTGTTTATTTATTTATTTATTTTTTATTATTATTATTTTTTTTTTTTGGGGGGGGTATGTGTGATTGATAAATAAAATGAGGGATAGAAAGAAAAAAAATGGAAGATAGACAGTGGAGGTAGGAGAGGGAGAGAGAGAGGGAGAAAGAGAAAGAGACTGAGAGAGAGAGAGAGAAAGAGATTGAGAGAGAGAGAGAGAGAGAGAGAGAGAGAGAGAGAGAGATTGAGAGAGAGAGAGAGAGAGAAAGAGAGAAAGAGAGAAAGAGAAAGAGAAAGAGAGAGAGAGAGAGAGAGAGAGAGAGAGAGAGAGAGAGAGAGAGAGAGAGAGAGAGAGAGAGAGAGAGAGAGAGAGAGAGAGAAAGAAAGAAAGAGAGGGGCAGAGGAAGAAAGAGAGAGAAACTATAAAGTAACGAACACATTGTTAAGAGAAACAGACCAAAAATGAGTAAATAAACAAATAAACAAACAAAATAAGCAAAATAAAAATTTCAAATGAATATTTACCTCCGAATATTGCCTACATGAACAACAAATACCAAAATACATCGTCATTTAACACCTATACCTCTAACACGCGTTTCTCTCCAAGCCTTCCTGGATGCCTCACCTCCAAAACTACGGCTACTGGAATGGCTACGACATCGACGGCTATACAGAGTGAGTTTTTTTTTTGTCTCTCTTTTCCATCTTCCTTGGTTTATCTTCCCTTATCATTTATCTTAGTTTATCTTTCGTCTTTTGTCTCTCTTTTCCATCTTCCTTGGTTTATCTTCCCATATTTTGGTTTTCATTCTTATTTTTCTTGCCTTTTTTCCATGTTCTCTCTTTCTTACTCTTCTTTTCTGTTCTTGATCACTCGTTCTTCTTTTTATTTTGTTTTTTGTAAGGTATTTTTACACAGGTATAGTCACTCCATCTTGAGGAAAATCCTAGTTGGCAACTTCCGAGCTAAGCCCCGCCTCGTTACCTTTATTCATTGCAAATATTCAATATATTTTTTTTTCATCTATTTTTTCTTCGTTTCGTTTTCGATCACTTTTTAACACCTTTTAACACATAGTTATTACTGAACTATTTCCGGATAAAATCCACTGAAATAACATTACCACAGAATATCGGATAAATTTTTAGGGTAAAAAAAAAAAAAAAATGGGGCGG